CTAGTGTGAACAAAGGCTAAGGGGTCGTTCACACTGTGTACGCTTTATGCTCTGTTTTAATACATGGGCAGTTGTTGGTTTTTGGCGGAGGAGAGGGGCTGATGGGATGGGCATTTCAGCTCATCACTGGGATTATGGGGTTTTTTTTGTAAACTATTTGAACCGCACAAGTCACACATTTATGGTCTCATGCACACTGGGCGATTTTACAGCTGCTGTTTTTGGCATCAGGCGTTTTTTTTTTTTTTTTGTCAGCCAGTAAACTCCCCAGCATGTTATCCTATGTGTCCATTCACACATGGTCTTTTATCATTGTTTTTATGCAGGAGCTTTTTCAGGCTGAAAGAAAAAAAAAAACCAGAACTACTGAGTTTTTCAGCTGGAAAAACACTTCAACACTAAAAAACCCTGCTATCCAGCATTTATGAGCATTTTTTGACACAGACATTTTTCCACAGTAAACGTCTACATTTCCCAGTGTGCTTTGCTGCTCTTTCATTGTCTGACCTGTGCTGTGTCAAACAGAAACATTTCTGTGCCCTTTGCTGCCTCATTGTCTCAGCTGACTGAACTCTGTGCAAACAGGAATGTCCTTTGCTGCTTCATTGTCTCTGCTAGCAGAACTGTGTGCAAATAGGAAATTCCTTTTATGGACATATGAAGGATACACGACAGGATATCAAAGGATGGATCCAGAACAGTCATCGACGGCTGCTTCTATCCTCCAGCTGTCCCTGTCTCCTCACCATCCTTAACAGAATCAGTAGCAAAGCCTCATTAATTTTCTGCATTATAGGATCCATAAGGAATGCAGCAAGAAAAACTAAAGATAGCTTTTGAACAACACAGTGCTCTTTCTGCTCTGAAAATGGTGACTAAAGAACCACAGAATGACTATTCAGTGATGCGTTGTGGGAAAATAGGATTTAAAAAACAACAGAGGCGTTTTCCTGCTGAAAAAAAATGCTAATGAAAAAAGTGGCAAGGCGCTGCAAGACTCGCAAGTTTAACATGGCAACGCTACTGGCGTTTTTATAACTTCCAGTGTGCATGAGCCCTATATCTTCGCACAGCTGTGTTACTGTGCAGTGGCACGCAGAGCCTTTCCTTGCGCTGCAGTAAATGTCTACGTTTTACTGCAGCTCATTGAGGTGCAACACCAGGTTGTATTGAAATGCAAACAGGTCCATAGGGTGCTTTCAAACCTGCAAAGGCATCCCACCTGCGATTATTATTATACAGGATTTATGGCGCCAACAGTTTGCTCAGCACTTTACAATATAACGGGAGACAATACAGTAACAATACAAGAGGGATAGGAGGGCCCTGCTCCTTGGAGCTTACAATCTAGGATTAAATGCAAGAACCCACATGGGGCTTCCCAGGATTAGCTGGGAGAGGCAGCCTCATTGAAAGCAATGGGAGGATGCCGGCTCCCGCAACTAATTGCACCCACTCACACAGGAAGTCTGTATCCAGTGTCAATCACTTGCATGTAGTCACTGCATGAGATATTACATGCAAGTGGGCGTGATTAGGGCAAGGTCAATAGCCTCCCACTGTTTTCAATGGGGCTGCCTCTCCATCATGAGAACCTCTGTTGGGGTTCTCATCTAATTGCAGACAGGTTGCATTTGCAGGTGTGAATACATCCTAAAGCAGGGTCTTTCAACTGGGGTGCCACAGAGTCCCCGGGGGTGCTGTGGAAAAATTACCCATGACCCTTTACAGTCTGTTCATGAGAAGGTTACTCAGTTAACATCTGTGTACAGAGAGGAGGGAGAGAGCTCACCCTGCACCTCTTCCCGACCCTCTCCTCCTCTATGTTGTCATCTGTACTCTTGCCAGCAAAACTGAAAGCTCTACAAGCAAGCCTGACCAGTCCTTTGCAAACAATGACTGCGGGCAAGTGGTTTGTACAGCTTTCAGTTTTGCTGACAAGAATACAGATAACAGCATAGAGGAGGAAAGAGTCAGGAGAAGGTGCAGGGTGAGCTCTCTCCCTCCTCTCTGTACACATCGTCCATTGCTTTTTTTGTATGCTAGTCTCATATTGAAACTGAAAAGGTTACTAAAGTTACGAAAATTCTCATACGACAGATTACAACTTCAGAAGTGATGTAATGTATTCTCTCTTTTTTGAGCATGCGCAGTCTTGGCCGATTTTTGGGTGAATACTGTACTGATTAAACAAAAATCGGTCTTTGTGGTATCGTACGAGAATAATGTTCATGCTTATCCCTTCAGATAATTTTGTATGAACGGTCATGATCAGCTCTCAAACGTTGTGTACCAACGATCAGGCTATCGAACAATCGCTCTGATAGCGGTATCTTTGGTCTGATTTTTTCATTCAGTGTACTAGGCTTAAAGTGTTACTAAACCCAGGACCCTGCATTCACTATATCTGGTCTCCCACAGTACACAGAACATGGAAATGCAGTTATTTTAGTAAATATAAACTGCTAAATACCTTTCTCATTAGCAGTTAGAGCAGTCTTGTGACTTCTATCAGTGTTCAGCAAAGCACTGGTTAAAGCTAGTAGGAGTTTTCTTTCTGCTCTAGGAGGATGCAGGACCCCTGACCTCTGCCTAGAGCCGATTGGCCCTGTGCTGATCACATGCACTCTCCCAAGAAATAAAACCTCTCTAGCAATACACACCAAACTGAACATGTGCAAACTGTCTTCATGTCTTATCAGGAGATAAGAGGGGGCGCACTGAAAGAAAGGAAAAATCAGAGAAGTCGGGATCAAACAGCCTTTTTACACAATGCAGAGGATTAACCCCTTAGGTTGCACAGTTCGTATAACAAGCATACTTTACTGCATATACAGACTGATTTTCCTGTTGTGATGTCCCATGGGTGGAGGCAGTAATTAACACTGCAGAGTCCTGCACATATCCCCCCCCCCCCCAGGGGATAGGGGGTGGGGGATTTGCCTTACAAACTACATTTTAGCCCTGGCTCACACCGAATGTGATATCAAAGTGGTGTGATTTGGTCCCATTAAAAACGCAACTTCAAATTGGACACAGATGTGATTTCAGTGCCATTTACCTTATAGTTTATGAGGGTTAAATCACACTGAAGTGGTGAAATAGTAACACAGGAACTATTTTTCAAATCGTGCTATTTGAAATCGCACCATTAAAGACAGCGCCATAGAAAAACATTAGATGCAATTTTAGGTTCCGTTTGTAAACCGCATGTCGCACCTAAAGTCACAGGTGTGAGCCAAGGCTTAGAGCTTTTTCGCAGTGCGGGACTGTGTGCGAAAATTAGCATTTTCCCGCATCACACAAAAAAAAAAAACGCCGCCTTTTGCAGATGCATGTGGGTGCCATTAATTCCTAACGGCACCCACTAAAATGCATATCAGCTGGATGTCGCTCCACTTCCTTAAACTGAACCTCTCCAAAACCGAGTTTCTTATCTTCCCCTCCAGCCCGGACACCACCCCCCATTGACTTCTCCGTCACATCCAACAACGCCACCATCAAACCCGCCCCGCAGGCCAGAGTACTTGGTGTCATTCTGGACTCCAACCTATCCTTCCAGCCCCAAGTCCAATCTTTAACAAACTCGTGCAGACTCCACCTCCGCAACATTGCCAAAATACGCCCATTCCTAACCCCAGAAACCACTAAACAACTCATCCACTCCCTCATCATATCACGACTCGACTACTGCAACTCCCTCCTCACTGGCCTGCCTCGACGCTGGCTATCCCCGCTTCAGTCCATCCTGAATACGGCTGCCAGACTCATTCACCTTTCCAACCACTCAATTTCCGCCACCCCCCTCTGCCAATCCCTCCACTGGCTTCCGATTGCGCAACGGATCAAATTCAAAATCCTAACACTGACGTACAAAGCTGTCCACCATACTGCCCCAAACTACATCACTGACCTAATATCTAAGTACCGCCCAGCACGCACACTCCGCTCCTCACAAGGCCTCCTTCTCTCTAGTTCCCTGGTCTCCTCCTCCCGTGCCCGCCTCCAGGACTTCTCCAGGGTGTCACCAATCCTCTGGAACTCCCTGCCCCAACCCATCAGATTATCACCTACTCTCCTCTCCTTTAGGCGCACCCTGAAAGCCCATCTCTTCAGGGAAGCCTACCCCACCCCCTGCTAACTTGCCAACCTCCTCCACTCTTCCTACCATTCCATCCCCCACAGCTACCTCCTCCTGTGCCAACATCCCCTCCCTCCTAGATTGTAAGCTCGAAAGAGCAGGGCCCTCAATCTCCTCATGTTTTGCATTGTTGTTGTTCTGTCACATGTTCTGTCCCCCTTTGTAATGTACAGCGCTGAGCGAACTATTGGCGCTTTATAAATACTGTATAATAATAACGGTACCATGAATTCTGGTGCGGTGCGATTTAAAATGATGCCTGTTTCACAAACATAGAGCAGCCTATTAAAAAAAAGCCAACGTGTGAGAGCACAACAAAGAAAAAAAAAGGGCGCGCTCAGACGCACCTCCTTGAGTGAGCGAGCCCTCTAGACTGCTGCGCCCCAGGATTGTGTGTGATTCTAAAGGGTGCCGTGACTGAAAAGAGGTTGGAAGATCCTGGTCAGGACATGATCACAGTACGAAGGTGCACAGAGGATCTTGTCCTATGGAGGGGAATCCAGCACCCTGCATGGACTGTGGGTGGGCCATGGATACAATACACTCTATAGGATGTCACCTGTAGCCTGCTGTGCCCCATTGATCAAGGACCGCTGAGGGATCAGACAAGAAGCTGTTCAAGCTTTGATGATACCAGGAGGCCCAGGGATGATAGAGATCTGAGCAGGGTGCCACCTCAGCCCTTTAAACCCGAACATATTCATTACACAGGTTCTGGGGCTGATTAAGGTGCTCATTAAACACAATTGGGGAGTTTAAATCAGCCCCAGAACCTGTGGAATGAATATGTTCGCATTTAAAGGGAAGAGGTGGCGACCCCTGATACAATGCACGTGCACTGGGGGGATGGTGGCCTCACCTTCTGGATGGAAGACTTCCCGCTGCGCCTCATCCCCATGAGCAGGATCCGGGGTTTGCTATCTGAGGCGGTCGAGCTCTCGTCCATCTCGGACTCGTCAGCCCCGTAGCCGAAGTCCTTGGGGAAGGAGTCGGCCACCCCATAGCTGAGCTGTTCCTCCCCGGGGTACTGTATAGACATGTCGCCGGAAGGTCTCTAGCACCGCCGCACCGATTCCCCAGTCACCATAATCCGGCTGCTGCTGTATCTGTCACGTGACGCCCCAGTAGCCCGGCGTCCACCTGATACCCTCAGGCTGGCACTAGTCCTCCACAACCGTCCTCTTCCTGGAAGGGTCCCCGTGAGCTCTCCGACACACCGCCGGATTATTTCTCTGTACTTCTTTTTATTTTTTTTTTGCTTTCTGGTAGCTACCGAATCCTTCCTGCAGCACCAGCCCTGTTTCTGCGTAACGCCTCCTCATTGGTTAGAAGGCTGAATGCTGCGGCTTTCTGATTGGCTAGGAAGCGAGTTCGCCAGTCACACGCGCCTAGCAAGGTAGGTTGGATCACAGTCATGTGGGGAGCAGTCACCTGACTGAGCAAAGGAGGGGGGGAGGTGGCATGTGACCTTTAACCTACAGCTGTGCCCTGACTGATGGAGGAAGATTTCCTGACTCGGCGGAAATAGCCGTTCACTTTACAATGACATGGCTTTATGTTATCATACGCTGCATTCCTCTGATACAAACTGCAGGAAAACTCTCCACCAAGAAGAGCTGAGGGAGATTCTTGGAGCGGAGCTACTGGTTTACCAACAATGGCGAGCAATAGTCACGTGTGCAATAAATAAACAAGTCCAGTGGACATTCCTAGAGACTAATGCCCTGTATACAAGAAAATCATACGAAAAATTTAGTGGAACCCCTGATCGAACGATTTTTTAATCGATAAAGATATTGCGAACAAAAAAATCTGGTTGAACAACAGGGAAAAATGTGGTCTCGCATACAAACGAATGATTTTCTATGCGGTGGGTATGATGGTCATACAAAGAAAATCTGTCAAGCGCTATCACGCATGAGTGGTAACAGAAGATGACCCGGATGTTTATGTCCAAGGAAACACGAACGAAAAATCCAAATGTTAAAAGTAGATTGGCCTAATGAGATAATGAAACCAGAATTCTGCATATTATATTTTATGTATCATTATTTATGTATATATTTAATGTAATAAACTATATTATACTCATTGCTGTTAATTATTGTGTATATGGCTCGTTCTGGCCGGAAGGGCGTGGCTACAAGGTCACACGCACACTGCATCACTTCCACTTGTACGGAAGACGTCAACACTACGTATTGCTCGACGAACGATTTTTTTAGATTGGTTAATGTGGGCCACGATTTCGACCAACGAATGAACGCCTCTCGGTAGTCGGATGACCAATCGGTCGATTTTATAATCGTGTATTCGCACCTTTAGGTTGGCCACACGCTATACAATTATCTTACCCTTTTCTGTCCAATTTCTGCCCAATTTCCTTTAGATTTACCTTCACCTATGTACCTTAGATTGTACGCCCCTTGAGGGTTAGGGACTGATGTGGATGTACAATATATATATATGTGTAAAGTGCTGCGTAAATGGACGGCGCTATATAAGTACCTGAATTAATAATAATAGTGTGAGGGCCTGCCTAATTGGATACAGTTGAAAGTATTGTTTAGGTTTGACCTCCTATTGTATGGTTTTTGTTAAATCTAAAGCAAAATTCTCAAGAAAATTGAACAATGTATGGCCAGCCATACACGGGTCGAATTCTGTGACGGGAGTCACTTTGGGTGGGGGGCCCATGAAACACAGCTCGCTTTAGAGAGGGAGACCCCTGTCTCAGCTCCCCATATCCCTCCTATGTGTAAGTCACCCTGTGCCTGTTAGGGGTGCAGGGTGCTATGTCATAATATTGTGTGGACATGTATAGGAGATAGGTTGTTCATTGTTTAACCATTTCAATACCGGGCAATTTTACACCTTCCTGCCCAGGCCATTTTTCAGGTTTCAGCACTCTCACACTTTGAATGACAATTGCGCGGTCATACAACATTGTACCCAAACTAAAATTTTATCATTTTCTTCACACAACTAGAGCTTTCTTTTGGTGGTATTTAATCACCGCTGGGGTTTTTATTTTTTGCTAAATTAACAAAAAAAGACCAAAAATTTAAAAAAAAAAAAACAAATTTTTCTTTGTTTCTGTTATAAAAGTTTACAAATAAATAATTGTTCTTCATAAATTTAGGCCGAGATGTATTCTGCTACATGTCTTTGGTGAAAATAACCCAAATTAGGATGTATTTTTTAGTTTGTAGGAAAGTTATAGAGTTCACAAACTATGGTATAGATCTGAATATTGATCAATCCTGAAGTACTGACAGCCAATCTAATTTCTTGAGGTCCAAGAATGTCAGAACAGTACAGATATCCCACAAATGACCCCTTTTTGCACAGTAGACAGTCCGACGTACTTCATAAGAGGCATGGCGAGTTTTTTGAAGTTGTATTTTTATGTCATAATTTTTCGAAAAATTAAAAAATTAAAAAAATTATTTTCACTATTTTTTTTTTTTTTACATACTGTCACCAGTGCAGTACAGCGTCATCATATAACTGGCATGGCAGTTAACAGGGACACTGACTGGTGACAGTATGAAAAAAATATATATTTTTTTTTTTTTTTATTTTTTTATTACATTTTTTTTTATTTTTTTTAAGATTTTTTTTTTCATATTTTACTATGACCAAAGTAGTACCATGTTACCATAGTAACACTGTACTACTTTGGGGAAGTGATCAGTATTTTATTTATTTATTTATTTTTTTTTACACAATTTGCTTATAGCAAAGAATTACTTTGCTATAAGCAAGCATTTACCTGAATGAAATCGATTCATTCAGCTTTTTTTTTTTTTTTTTTTTTTTTTTTTTGTGCTTAGCTGTGATTTGGTCACAGCTAATCACATGACATGTGCATGTGATTAGCTGTGACCATTCACAGCTAGGCACTAGTATACAATGGATGGCATCATGAATGAAGCCATCCATTGTATACAACTGTCATGTGACCTGCTGTGATTGGTCACAGCAGGTCACATGGTACCAGCAACGGGAGCCGGTACTCGGATCTGTCATCGGCCGTGTCCGAGGTGCACGGCCCGTGACAGATCCCGCTGCTGCGCCGCTCTGCATTACCGCAAACGGCGCATGTGCGGGAGCACGCCAAATGGCGTGCACCCGGAATGAAGAGGCACATCTGAAGCCGCCAAACGGCCATTGGCCGGGCGGCTAATGGTTAATGCCATGTGGTTATATCCCATTGTTCTATTGTGTGTCTTGCTTGGGAGCAAACTATTATGGGATGTATGTGTTTGTGTATTGGCTTGGTGGGGGGGGGTGTCTGCTGATGTCTCTTGTTGCTAGATTTGGATCGCCCCGCCCTGTGTCATTATGCAGGGAAGGGAGAATTGTTCCCTTGAATGTATATATCTTGTATACAGTCTATTTCCTGATTTATTTCAAGACTGGTCTCGTTTAGTCTTGTATGGTCACCGGTGGTTTCCGTGGATGGGGAAGCAGTATTATTATAATACAAATACCCAAGCGCAGACTGGGACGGTTCCTTTACAAATTCCGAAATAATTTTCTTTCAAAAATCTCTTCTAAGAATTTTAGTTCAACTTTCGCATCATTAGTGGGTCGCATTATTGGCTGATTTCTGCACGACCATCGAATATGAGTGATCGGCATGTTGGAGATTTTTTTTTAAATCCGAATGAATTTCGAATCAATGATGGCAGAATTGTGCAAGAAATATAAACAAAAAAAGAAATGAGCTGTGACGTGGAAAGAAAAGAAAATTCTTGGCCACAAAAGAAAATTATTTTCTGTGGCAACACGAGGTGAAATTTAAGGCTTGGTTAGTCGAATTTCAAAATCAATGGTAGCGCCATGGGATTACAAAAGGCACGAAATTTCTGATTTTCTAAAGAAAATTAGTTTGGAACTTGACCCATGTATGGTCTGCATAAAGCCAGCCATACACTGGTCGAATTCCAAAAGAATTTTCTTTCAAAATTCTTTCCTAAGAATTTTCGTTCAAATTTCACACCATTAGTGGGTCACAGAAATGGCCAATTTCTGCATGACCATCGAATTTGAGTGATCAGGCATGTTGGAAATTGTTTTAAAAATGAACGAATTTCGAATCAATGATGGCAGAATTGTGCAGGAAATATAAATGAAAAAGAAATGAGTATGAGCTGTGACCTGGAAAAGAAAAGAAAATTATTGGCCAAGAAAATTCTTTTCAGTAGCAACATGAGGTAAAATTGAAAGCTTGGTTGGTTGAATTTTGAAATCAGTGGTGGAACCATCGGATTACAAAACGCACTAATTCTCAAATTTTAAAAAAATTTGTTCAGAATTCGACCCATGTATGGCCTACATAAAGCTGACCATACACGGGTCAAATTCCGAAAGAATTTTCTTTTGAAAATCTTTTCTAAGAATTTTCATTCGAATTTCACACCATTAATGGGCCACAGAAATGGTCGATTTTCTTGCGACCATCGGATTTAAGTGATTGGGTATGTTGTAAATGTTTTTAAAAATTAACGAATTATGCAGGCCATACATGGGTCGAATTCCAAATGAATTTTCTTTAGAAAATCTGAAATTTTGTGCCTTTTCTAATCTGATGGCGCCACGATTGATTTCGCAATTCGACTAGCCAAACCTTCAATTTCACCTCATGTTGCTACAGAAAAGAATTTTCGTGGCCAAGAATTTTCTTTTCTTTCCAGGTTGCAGCTCATGCTCATTTCTTTTTCAGTTACAGTTTTTCGCACGATTCTCCCATCATTGATTAGAAATTCATTTGTTTTATTAAAAAAATTCCCAACATGCCCGATCGCTCAAATTTGATGGTCACACGAAAATCGTCCCTTTTTGTGGCCCGCTAATGGTGCAAAATTCAAACAAAAATTCTTAGAAAAGATTTTCAAAAGAAAATTCTTTTGGAATTTGACCTGTGTATGGCTGGCTTTAGAGGAATACATGTGAAGTAAATGCAGCACAGGTGTGAACTGACACACAGTTGTGCTCAAAAGTTTACATACCCTGGCAGAAATTGTGAAATTT